GGGGGGGGTGTTTCTGTACAGCGGGAGGGGGGGTCCCCCCACTCAGGGCCGCTGGGCCTGCTCCAGCTGCTGGTGCTGGCTGCGGACGGCGAAGCGGTTGACGTGGACCGGGATGGGCACGACGATCTTGGGGTTCCGGACGGGCTCGCCGGAGCGGCCGCTGACGTTGCCGGCCTTGATGCGCTTCCACTTGGCCCGCCGGTTCTGGAACCAGATCTTGACCTGGACCTCGCTCAGCTTGAGCGCGTGGGCGATCTGCGAGCGCTCCGTCAGGCTCAGGTACTTCTTGCAGTGGAACTCCTTCTCCAGCTCCAGCAGCTGCTCGCTGGTGAAGGCCGTCCGCCGACGGCGGCTCTTGCCCGGCCCCGACGACGACGAGGAGGAGGAAGAGGAGGAGGAGGAAGAAGAAGCCGGCCCGGGTGGAGGCATGGCCGCAGCGGCCGTTGGCTCGCCCGCGGCCCGCTTGGCCTTGGCCTTGGCCGTCGTCCCCCCGACGGCAGCCTCCGGGAAAGGCTCGTCGTCGCTGTCCGCCTCGGCCGAGCTCTCGTCGTCCTCCTCCACGTGCTCGCTGCCGCGGCCCGCCTCGCCCGGCCGCTCGTCCACCGCCGTCCCCGCCGCCTCCTCGTCCGAGCTGTAGGCGCCCTTGCCGCCGCCTGGGGAGAGGGAGAGAGAGGGAAGGGGAGGGAGGGAGGGAGAGGGAGAGAGAGGGAGAGAGAAGAAGGGAGAGAAAGGAGGGAGACAGAGAGGGAGGGAGAGGGGGACAGAGGGAGAGGGAGGGAGAGAAAGGGAGACAGAGAGAGAAGGAGGGAAGGAGACAGAGGGACAAGGAGGGAGAAGAGGGGGAAGGGGGGAGGGAGGGGAGAGAGAAAGGGAGGGAGAGGGAAGGAGGGAGGAATCAAGAACGAGAGAGAAAGGAAGGAAGAGGTGAGAGGGAGGGAGGGAGACAGAGAGGGAGGGAAATAGGGAGGGAAAGGAGGGAGGGGGAGGGAGACAGGAGGGAGGGAGACAGGGAGGGAGAGGGAGGGAAAGGGGGAGAGAAAGGAGGGAGGGAGGGAGAGAAAGGAGGGAGAGAGAGAGAGGGAGAGAAAGGGATGGAGTGAAGGAGGGAGAGAAAGGAGACAGGGAGGAATGGAGAGAAAGAGGGAAGAACAGAGGGAGAGAGAAGGAGGGAGGCAGAGAGAGAGACGGAGGGAGGCGAGAGAGGGAGGGAGAGAGAGAAGGAGGGAAGGAGACGGACAGGGAGAGAGAGGGATGGAGAGGGAGAAAGGGAGGGACAAAGGGAGAGAGAGGGAGGGAGGCAGAGAGAGGGAGGGAGGCGAGAGAGGGAGGGAGAGAGAGAGGGAGAGAAAGGAGCCAGACACAGACAGAGAGAGGGATGGAGAGGGAGAAAGGGAGGGAGAGAGGGAGAGAGAAGGAGGGAGGCAGGGAGAGGGAGAGGGGGGAGAGAGAAAGACATCAGACCCGAGTTACTCCTCCCGGGGCCCACCGGCTGCCCCCCACCGGCCCGCCTGCTTTCCCCAACCGGCAGCAGCGGAAGCCGCGGCCGACACGCTCCCCCACCTCTCTCTCTCTCGAGGGTGTCGCGCGGCGGAGACGACCTGCACGGCCGGTGAAGCTCAGGGGCCGGACGGGCGAGAGGAGGCGGCCCAACACACACACACGCACACACACACCCCCGAGTCACACACACACACACACACCTCAGGCGGGACCGCTCCCCGGCGCTCGGGCCGGGCCGACGCAGCGTCTCCGCGGGCTTTTGGCCCACCTGGAAAGAGCCGCAGCTTGCGCGGCGGGGCCAAAGCGCCCTGCGGAGGAGGAAGAGGAAGAGGAAGAGGAGGAGGAAGAGGAAGAGGACGGACTGGGCGCCTTTGGCCGGTCCCGAGAAAGAAGGGGTGTTCTTTCTTTCCGACTGGCTGCCGTCCTGCCTGCTTCGGGGGCTGCCGTCCGCCGGGGCTGAATTTTCTGCCCGGCCGACGCGCCGTTCCTTCGGCCGTTTTCAGAGGCGGCGCTCGCTCCTTCTGCCCCCACACACCCCCCCCCCGTTTTCTGAAGCCCTCCCGTCCTGTTGATGGACACCCCCTTTCCCCCCCCCCAGTCTTGACAGGGCTCCCGGGGAGGGGGTGTCTTGGGGGGGCTCCCGAGGAAAGGCCCCGAGGCGCGCTGCGCTCCTTCGGGACCCTCCTTTCCAGCGCAGCCCCTCCTGGCCCCGGGGTGGGCCCGAGAGTCCCGGGGTTCTTCCGAAACGTCCTCCGGTTTCGGGAAACGAGTCCCGTTCCTAGCGCCCGGGTTTGACACGTGTGGAAATCATCCGGGCGTCCTTGCCGGCCTCTCTGCGCCCCGCGGAAAGGGCGAAGCAGCGAGGGCCGGGTGTGTGTGTGTGTGTGTGTGTGAGCCGAGGACTCAGGGCCTCTGGGCGTGTGCAGAGGGTCTTTCTGGCCGGCCCGAATAAGCGCAGCCGATGCCAGGGGGAGGCGGGCAAGGGGATCCGCCGCGGCGGCGTGGGGAAGACGCTTCCTACCGCGACCCGCATATAGGTTTGATTGCATTTTATTCTCTTTAATTCAGTTTGATCGGATTGCAGCTTCCCGTCTAGCCGGTGGTCATCTCCCACCGACGGCCGCTGCGCTCGGAACCAGCTATCCAAGCGGGAGCCGCTCCGGGGACTTGGCGGGCAGGCGTCCCGGCGCCAAACCCAGACGCGATCCCCAGGCAGCAGAGGATCCCGCGCAGCGCAGGGCCAGCCGCCTCTTCCGCGGGCGGCAACGGGGATGCCCTGAGGCTGCCGGCCAGGTGGAAAAGTCAGCGCCCTTCTTAGCAAGCCGAGCCAGGTTAGGGACGGGGATGATGGAGTCTGCGGTCCCAAGCCTTCCAGGACGGGATTCCTGGAGAAGCGGCAGTTCCTATCCTAAAAGCCTGCGTGGCAGCGCCCTCTTCCCCTCGCCCCTCTCCAATCGGGTCCCCGGGGTCCTCCCGTGGCTCTTGGGACCCCTCCACGGCGGAGGGGGGCCCGTCCGCTCACCGCAGCCCCCCCCCAAGAGCTGTGGAGAGGGGGGCAGCCTTTAGAGTCGGGGCTGCTTCTCCCGGAGGTCAAGGGCTCCAGGCCACGCCAGGACTGGGACTTGGGGAGGGGGCTGCCCTGGAGGGGTCGCTCCTGAGATGCAGGAAGCGGGCCCCCCAAGACCCCCCCAAAAGGAGGGGGATAGAAATTCCATGATGGGGATGTTCTTCTCCTTCAGCCTCCGTTGATTTAGCGATAGTTAAATGTCTGCGCGCACGCATACACACACTTTGCTGCCCCCCCCCTCGGGGCACCGAGGGGGGGGGCAGCAAAGTGGCGGCATCCTTGCCCCCCCAAACCAGGCGGTCAGCCGCGACGTGGGTTGCCCTCCCCCTGCCCTTCTTCGGCGGCCGGAGCGCGCGTCAAAGCGGACTCCGATCCGGTGTCCAAACCTCCCCCCTCCAGATGCCGTA